TAATGACATCAGGGTGACACTACTGCCGGAATCCATCACTCCAGTTGTTTGAATCTCTCCTATCTTTATATTCCATACTGGTGTTTTTCCAACAATCTTTTCCATGTTTGGATGAATAGTTGTATCTGCTGTTACATTTGTTATCACTTCGTTTGATGTGGCTTCTGTATTACTCTGGTTGTCTACGTTTTGGTTACTTTGATTGTTGTTGAATTGGTTGTATCCTCCTCTATTGTAGTTAAATCCTCTTGATCTGCTAGAACCCCTTCTGTTGTTGTACTGACCCCTGTTCTGTCCTCGACCAAATCCATTGTTGAAGTTATTCTGACCCCTAAAGTTGTGGTAGTTTCTTTGGTAGCCATTGTTGTTGAAATTGTTTGAGTTATTTTCAGAGTTGTCATTGTTATTTCGCTTAAGATGGTTGATCTCCTTCTCGATCTTTTCCTGTTTATCCAAAATCTTTTGTAGTGTAATTTGTAGTGATGAGTCATTGTCTCTTAAGCTAACTGCACTTGAAGAAACTTTCCGCTGCTCATTTTCATTCAACTCAAATTTGAAAGCAATTTCTCTCAGTTGGTGAAATGTGATGTTATTGTTCAAATCTGACATTCTCTGGAGTTCCCATCTCAGTTTAGGCTCATAGGCTCCTACTATCAGTTGTTCCTTAAGTAATTTATCTCCTTCTAGGTGTTCATGGCTTTGTTTTACGATGTCCATCAGCTTCATTAACGACTGTGTATACTGTGATATGGTTTCATTGTGGTTTTGTTTCCTCGTGTAGAACTCAGTCATTGATTTGTGTGGTGATTCTACGATACCAAACACTCTCTTCAATGTTCTGTAGATATCCTCAGGTGATGGGTTGTTTGATAAATATCTTATTTCACGCCGTGGATTTGGTCCTAAGTGGTAGATTATATAGTCAATCTTTTCATCATTCTTGTTGATACTCTTTGTCGCTATTTTTGCATCTTCACACCAGTCGTAGACATCTTCGTCAGTCTTTCCAAAGAACTTCTGAAGTTTAGGTTTGTTGTAAACCAGTTTCGTTTCAGTTGAGTTAACCTGACTTCTTTCCTGATGTTCCTTAGTCCTGGTATTAGGAACTGTTGTGTCAGGATTCATGTTATATTTTTTCTGCAGCGATGTAAGTTCCCGTTCAAGTTTAATCATTCTCAGCTTTTCTTGTACTTCAACTTTTTCTTCATCCTCTAGTTCCTTGGCTAAGTCATCAATCATCGCTTTCCTGAGATCCTTTGGTTTGACATCCCCTGGGTTAGTCTCCTGTCCCAAGACAAATTTTTCATCCGGTGATTCAAGTGGCGGCACGTCTTTTTCAGCCATTGTTTTTGATATAAAATGAAAACGCGCACGCAGCGATATGATAAAATACTCTGATTTCGCGTTGTATGTACAAAACTTGCGGAAAATTACACGAAAATGTTTAAAATATATCACCAATAAAATACACCCTGTTGAGAATATGTATAATTATCCGGGGTACTAGTCTAATATGACCTTATAAACTTGTAGTACTAGGACATGCACTCTACTATGTCCAGTCTATTAATACACCAATAAAAATTCAGACAATATAAATGTCAAGGGCACTATGAGATTTTAATTAAAATTGTTACGTTTGAACATAACTTGTGTCTGGGCTACTATATAGAACACAAGGTTAAGTGGAGGTACCACATACTGATGTAAAGTTGTCAAACTTAAATTGGACACTTTTATGCACCAAATATCAAGATATACACACTTGAAATGTAGACAATAGATAATGACTGGTAAGTTGTGTGTTAAATGGAATACACAAAAAGTAATTAATAAAAAGTCAACATGTATATTCAGAAACCAATGTCCTGGATACTATTTGGCAAGCTGGACTTTTATTTACTCACACCAAATACTACTAGTGTCCTCATTGACCTTGCTAGAAATTATGTTGCTCAGTTTTATGCATGGCTTCACAGTCCAAACTTTTATCAAAGTCCATGAAGTATAATCAGCTGATTCAAATGTAGCTATTCAAGCAATGTTCATTCATCAATGTTAATTAGCTAGGCAAAGTTCAACTGTTGCCATTCAAACAATGTTCATTCAGGTGATGTGAGATTATTATATAGCACTGCAATTCAATGTTTATGTGACTCCCTTGCAAAATAATGCAGCATGGAATATTGCCAATGTCTATGTGAAAAGTTGCAGTTTTATGCCAATCATAAATAGTTCAATCTCAAGTTGTGTTGATCTTTGACGCTTTTCCATATGTCTTTATCCGTACCACTTACTTGGTTTACCCGACTTCCATCAGTATTAGCTTATGTGGCCTGGTCATAAAAAAATATCTACCTATCCATAAAACAGTAGCCTAACAATAGCCTAGCAATTGGGAAATGAATTTCTACATTACGTGTCAGTATTCAAAAACCAGTGAAATATCAATGTAACATCAGTGTATTGTAACACCCGCAGTACCAGTGTAACCATGGGGCGAGGGACAACACATGGGAACACGAAAAATGATGTAAAACTATAAAACACTGATTTATTTCAAAATATATGCAAATGGAATAAAAATATCTGGTTTAAAGTGACAATCTAGCTTAAAGTGAATAGCTAGCTTAAAGTGAATAGTTAGCTTAAAGTGAATAGCTAACTTAAAGTGAATAGCTAACTTAAAGTGAATGACTATCTAGCTCAAAATGAATATCGAGCTTAAATTGAATACTATCTAGCTTAAAAATCTATCTGTCTAAATGACCAAAATCTATCTGCCTAAATGACCAAAATCTATCTGCCTAAATGACCAGGCCACCCGCTAGGGCACCCACACTTGACCCTAAAATGTAAAGAAATATATTAAGGTACACGTACACCATATACATAAGGCATTCAATACAATGTAATAATCTACAGTTTTACGATAAAACCAGTTAGTGAAAGGGCTGTGGAATTAAAAAGGGCCCTTGTTATGTTTCCAAAATAAACCCTAACACAGTGCTTGATACACTTTATAGATTATAGTTACCATATCAAATATAATGAAATTAAATGGATTAAATAGAACATCACCGTGAAGGTTTACAATAATAAAAATATAAAAGTACCTAAATATATCTCAACAGGGTGGTGAGTATTAGCACTAGAAAGCCCACTGGTAGACCCGTGGCTATAAAATAAGTATGGCAAGATAAGTCATATTACCAAATAGTTGTCACAAATAACAATGTAGGGATACTATCTGTTTATTGACAAAGAATGTAACTTTATGAATTCTATGCACAAATGCCAAAACTGTCATGACGGTGCAAATAGAAATACTCAAGTAAATATCTCAAAAAGTATTCAAAATACAAAAATAGTATTTACACTAGGTTGAAGCTAAAGTTATGTGGAATAAAGTAGAAATGACAAATATAATATTGAAATATTCAAAAAGGACAAAAAGGTGGATAAAATGATGAAATATTCTTACCAGGTCCTGGCTGTTTGAAAGTTGAGGCTAATACTGAAGAAAACATGTGAAGTGTGAATGAAAGTTAAGCTCCCAGCAGGGTTTGATTAGCCTATAGAAAACTGTAAAATGAAATATTTAGCCCTCCATAACAGGGTTATAAAAAATACAAAATCCGAATGTCACAGTTACATTGATAGTTTTTAGATTCTTTTATTTTATGTGCACCCCTTCAAACATGAATCCAAAACGCAAGGAGGATTGTCTCCCAGAGTGCAACATCGATATTCTGTGCCATATAAGGGCATGTCGTGATACAAAATTCGAATTCAAACAGCGGCAATTTTGTTCACTTTCAACATTTGAATCGTGAATTTTGGTCTTATTTCCTAACGAAAAATTCCAAAACTCATGGCAATGATCGAGATATTGGATCGAATCTTTTGAACTATTTATTTTGAATTTATAGTCGGTTTTAATTTCAGAAAATGACGACATCTTGACGTTTTCATTGTTGGAAAATATCGAGTTTCATCCTTGTCCAAAACGCATTAAAATATTTATGATGCAGCAGTATTTCAATCCAATGCTTCGGACATGAAAAACAGAAGAAATCGCAGACTTTTTCATGTCTCAGGTGATACCTCTTATATGAGCAAGAGCACTTGTCCCCGTTGATGAAGGAAGCATATGTTTGATCCCACGATTTCCCTAGCCTCAAAACCGTGATGAAGTGTTCTGAAAGTTTATATGACTTTTATAGAAACGTACACGTTTGGTACTTGTCCCAGGACCGTATTGGTAATTCATTTTGACCAAAAGTCCTGTGGCAATAAATACTAGTATACATCAGTATCAAATCTGTCAACTGGGTATTAAGTTATTGCCTGGACAGACAAGATGAGACAATCTATTGGTGGAATTAGCGGACAATCAGACATATTGGAAAGGATCATTGATACTGATATGTACTCATACACAACTTAAAAAATTAGACTTATAGGACTATATTAGTGGACATCAGCGGACCTTAAATGGTCCAGCATTTCGGATAAAATTAAATAGGCCTGAATAATTTTGCCAATTATGTATTTGATCAAAAGATTTTTCTGTTGAGATATGGATTTGGTGACATCATGCAGATTTTTTTGTCAATTGGACAAAATAGACCTGTACTCTGACCACCACTTCTCAAATTCAACACTCTCAGTCTCAATGTTGTTATCTCGCATTGAGTTCAATGATAAAAACCTAGTGGTGTGCGGATTGCAGACGGTTAACTGCACATATAACAATGAACGAAAAGCAATATCCTTTAAATATGGAATCTTTAATTTTAAAAGCATGACATCAGATACAGACTATAAACATTACAGATTTTTTATTCAGTTCATTTATTGCAAATTATCATATCAAAATACAAATAGCGACTGTACTTAACAGCATGAATAGCCACATACAAATAAATTGCATTACAGATAAATCAAAGCAAATCATGGAAACACGAATACCAAATAATGTTTTTTGTTAACATGGCAAAACAAACACGCTAAGTATTTGCTGAGTGTAGAATTAATTTGATTTCACATTTTATCATTGGCTAAGGCCATTTTTATTTTTTATTTAGTTTGTCTGCTTTAAATAATAGACATTGTCTTTGTCATTGTCTTTAGTCCTCAATCTCGGGAGCACCTTCATCCTACTGATCCTCACCTGAAATACAATTCAATTTAATTCAACGATCTTTATTGTTCAAAAATGTCGTAAACTTGCAATCAGAAGAAGCCACATCTAAAAATTATCCAGCATCCTGTGATCCAAATACAAGAACAATTTACAAAAAAATTGTTTTTATTTTATTCTAAACACAGGGAGTTCATGGAAGTAAAGTAAAATCATAAATGTTTGAGAGTACTTTGAATTTAAAAAATAAGCAATCAAATGACCAAATTGAAACATTTTATGTAAACATACAAACATTAATATTTATCCTAACTTTTGTATATTTTAGTTTGTTTTGTAGTTTAGCTATCATATCTGTGTCCTCTTATATTTTGATACTTCTCTGCCATGTTATTTTCGGAAAAATTAACAAGGCTGAAACTCCCTAAATTACAAAAAGCCACAGCTTTGCTGCACATTATACATTACTATCTGAAATATACAAAAGTTAGGATAAATATAAATGTTTCTATTTTTACATAAAATGTTTCAATTTGGTCATTTGATTGCTTATTTTTTAAATTCAAAGTACTCTCAAACATTTATGATTTTACTATATCTTTACAATGGGAGCAAGGACTCGTATAGATGGCAGTTAACTACTTGGTTGTTGTTCACAACTGGCCCATTGGTTTGTGTGTAAATATTGCTGTTTTAAAACTTCAAATTTACTACATTTATCAAATAAATATCAAATTCTCCGTTTTTTTATTTACAAACATGTTTTAATATTCAAAATCATAAGGTTATTGGACATTTTCAATAAAATTTATCTCGGGAGATTTGAGAGCAATTTTTACATGTTAAAGTATGCTATTAAACCTATTTAATTCTATGACATCTATTGACAGTCCTGAAGGCCATTACCGCACCAGCGCACTGCATGTTAGTCTAAACACAGGATATTCATTCTGATACTCAGACCATCTCTGCTATGCACAAGAATCATTCTAGAAGGCCACTGAGAGAAGGCTGTGATATCTCACGATGCAGGATATTTAAGTTGCATTCATTCGCAACCGTTATTAATTAATTAATCGTGACGTAACATGGTAAATTCTTCAATACTTTATCACAGTTGGTATTTATCACAGATATGAACAAAATGGCCTGAAACCATTCAAACTTAAGTGCAGGGGATGCAAAGCAATATACATACCATCTCCCTCCATCTCTGATCTCCATGACAATAAATTGTCCATCAATGACTGCATTAAAAAGGTGGTGTCTTTATAACTTTGATCGCACACGCTATCTATCTGTTTGTGGGCGTTTTCAAATGCAGTCTCTGCCTCTTGACACGCCCGATCGGGTGATTTTAAAACCTCATAATGAAATATAGAGAAGTTAAGCGCTAAACCAAGACGTATGGGGTTTGTGGGAGCCAATTCAGCCATGGCAATCTTGCTGGCAGCTTTGTATGCCTCTAAACTGTTTTCTGCAGCTTGTTTACGGTCATTGGCTGTGGCGACTTTTGCTAAGTCGGTATTGTAGTCTCCTTTCCTGTAATTACACAAAAGTTTTTTATACTGTTTAAAAGTGTGTGAGCAATTTGTGAATTTATTTTAAATTTAACTTTTAGATGTCACACATATCTTTTAATTAGCCACAATTCATACCAATGTATAGCAATCATCATCATGTTTTTTTGCCGAAAAAATTAAGAAAATCGGTTCATAAATAAGCGAGAAATGAACTCATCAGTGCATGAAAATGGTTCCGAGAAAAATGCATTTCAAAATTTTAGTTCTCATAGAAGCCAATAGTACAATGATATCTAAAACATGATATATTCTTCCTTTTAATCTGGTTAGACAATCAACATTGGTTTATTATTGAAGTCTAGCATATTTAGAAAAGATTGACATAGAAAAAAAAATTCAATTTTTTCAAAAAGTTTTTGCCCACTTAGTGACATCACTAATGTTTCAAAATATTTTTGATATGTTAAAACATTGAAATGGCCCATTAAATATGGCATTTTATTATTTTAATAGTGTGTCCTTTGTTCAATCTTTGCATTGGTGTTAAAAAGATAATCTTTTTTGAAATACATTAAGAAAAATTTGATGATTAAAAAATTTCAATGTTTTTTGAAAAATAGCGGGGAATATTTGAGAATTGAAATGCTCACAATTTTTTTTGAAAATTTGTTTTTTTACAAAAATCTGTAAAAATAACTTTTTTAAGTCATGACAAATAGTAAATGAATGATAAAAAAAATATTTTCTAACTTTAGAGAGTACACAATAGGAGCTGAAAAGGTAAGTGGACAACTCGGACCCGGTGTAAAAGAAATGATGGTCCTCAGGGATTATGGTCCCCTTTCTTAACGGACCTTAATGGCCCTGGTTGCGTAGAAGATAATGAGGGAAAGAGTTGTATTTAGGTCACCATATAAATCAACGGAGAGTAGGACCATAATTTGATAGGACCTCCTATCCTTTTACAACGGGACAACTCGGACCCAAGATCTAGTTGGACAGCACCAAACATAGAGTATCATTCTTAAGATTTCATTTGAAAATATTGTGTGCCAACTCATTAGCTTGTTATAATGATAATGAGATACTTACATTTTTAAATATGAGACTGCTGACACGCCTGAAGTGTCAGCGTTGTTTTTTAATTGGATATCAATGATTTGTAATATGTCTTTGCAATTCTCTTTTAGTTCTTTTTCAACCTGAAAATACATACATACTTATTTATAACTATTGTTTATTACTTCACACTAGATCTTCAGGTTCCATTGCGTAACAGATTGATTAATGTGAACTAGAACACGGGGACTATCCAGGACCCGCTGACATCGCGAGCAATGGGCTTATGTTAGAAGCGGGGCCTTGCTTGATATGATAAATTGAAATATGAAATTTATTATGAAACTTTAGTAAGTAAAACTCTGTACAACTTTATTTCATGGTACAATGTCTATTTTAATTGCAGGGCAACGGCGTTCTTCAACTATAACTATATTTTGACATATCCTTCAAGGCCCCGCTTCTAACATGAGCTCATGGCTCGCGATGCCATCGGGAACTTGCACGCGATATACGGGGCCTGGATAGTCACCGTGAAGAAAGCACATCACCTGTTGACATTTAACCACGGAAAAAGAAATGTTTGCTCAAATATTTTTGTAAAACCCTTGTATTTGACTTTTATAAAACAACATGTAATTGTTTCAGTACCACAGGGACCCTGACGAGGGGCTTCGAGGCTTGAGACTTCCCCTCATCGAAACATTTTCATTGTCGGACTTATATTTAATTGGCAGACAGTTGCTAGAAAGTCTAAAACGATTACAACTTTTGAAAACATTTATTTTTCTGACATTGTAGGGTTCTTAATGATATACAAGTTGTACTTTATGTGATTCATATTTTTGTTCTAAGAGTTTAAGCTTGCAAGTATACGCTAACAATTTATGCTTGCATATAAAATCGAAACGCCAATATATACGTATGACCGATCGCCCATAAAAAAGCAACGATTAAATATTTTCCGTTCACGTTTTGATTGTGAAAAACAAATATGCAAGCTTAAACTCCCTAATATTCATATTCTTACAATGTATTTGTAATATGAAATCTATGTTGATGTGAGATAAATATAGAAACCTACGCTCGTATATACATAAAAAACAGAAATCAGTAGAGGAATATCATGGGCTGAACTGATTTTAATTATTTTACTTGTCATGTTTGAATAGAGAAATAAAAAAAATCAAGAATAAATCATGGGCTTACAAGATTCCAAGTAATTAAAGTTATGTTTTTTCAACAGGACACATTTCATTTTCTTGGATTTTGTTTACAAAAAAATTGCTTGTCAGGAATTGTCATGGTACCACCAAGCCCCTATCTCTATGTTTTGGGACACAGGGCATCACAATTTATGACCTTGTGAACTGATACAAACCTGTTGCCTGTATTCTTTAATTATCATCTTTTCTTCATCACCACCCTTTTCTTCTTGCGTCTGTTCCAAGGTAGTGATAATCTTCCAGGATTCTCTGTGAGCTCCAATCACATTTTTGTAAGCCACCGAGAGCAGATTTATCTCATCCGCTGTCATTTCTATACCCGTGCCTGCCACTTCTTTCATGTTGTTGACCATTTCTGCAATGTACATGGTGTAAACTATATGGAAACAGATCAATGTAAAGTATCTATCAAATGAAAAATACATCTATTCTACCTGTTTGAATTCAAGCACATATGGCACTCAGTGTTTTCGACTAGGCTAGTATGGTCGCATGATCCAAAGGCTACTTAATTTTAATTGATTTCCTAGTCATTATATTGACATACAACATCCATGAGTTTATTTTTCGAAGAGCTCTTGATAAGGAGTTGGTTGCTGTTCAGGTGTCCGCCACAAAAACAACTACTGCATAGTGTAGAATCCTCTACATTGGGCTATGTTTTTGGGGCCCTGACCAATCTTCGGGCCCCATGCATTGTTTTAGTCCCGGAAATATGAAAATGTAAACAAAATTGTGTGGCGAGATGTCATTCACGATAAGGGTCTCCAAAATCAGGCCTGAAGTTGAAGTTGCCCCTTCCATGAGTTTTGCAAATGGCGTCATGCCTTTATTTGCAACTTGTGAACATCAACATTCAAACACTTATCGTGCCGCGAGTACCTCATGTGGATGGATAGCCTGCACCTCATTTTGAACTAGGATCGATTTATGGATCAAGTGTATCTAAATTGGTAAGTATAGTAGTCTGTATCTTTTGTGATCTTAACGAAAGAGAAAGTGTTAAGCATTTCTTGATTACTTGTCCAGCTTTTACTGATGTTAGAAACCTTTACTCTATTTAGCGAGGGGTAATCTGAATGTAATGAACGACGATTATATTCTTAAAGTGATTCTAGGAACTGTATACAATGATGATAAGGAGACTCTGTTACTCATAGCTATGCATGTGTACGAGTTACACAGGCATAGGCAATTTCTTGTGGATAAAAGTTAGTTATCCTCTTTACCTTACATCAAGTAACACAAATATGTTTTATAATCTTATTTAATTTTCTCTACATGTTAATATGAATGTAACTCTCTTTTATTTAAGAGGTAAATAAATTATACATACATACATACATACATAACATTGTACTTTCAGTTTGTATTGTTGGTGCAAAAGCACATTGCAACTATTTGACCTATATTCAGTATTGGTTTGTGCAAAATCACATCAGAATTATTTGACCTAGATTTGCTTGGCAAAAGCATATCAGAATTGTTTGAGAAATTTGTATTGTATTGTTTATGATCAATACTTGTTAGGCTAATTCCCCAGTATTCACATATGATAATGTTCTGGTACACTGCATACTCAGTCTGTTGGTGTTTTAATCTGCGCAGTTGTACATTCCGATGTATTTGTTGTACGAAATATCAGGGGTACCAAAAAATGAGCAATGAGCGTATGAGCAACTGATAAACCAAAATCACTGAAAAGCCTCAAAACTGTAAAATCTTGGTGATGTTACCTTTTTTGTGTACTGTTACGGAACAATTAAATATCAATCTTATCACTCCATTTCAGATGCAAAATATTTAGATATGTGACTTTTCCATCACTTTTTGAGATTTTCAGATGTGTTTTACTTGTTATTGACATTTTAAATGTGAAGTTGTTTTGTGTGTTTGTTTTTGTCTTGCTTTTTGAATTTGTTTTGTTACGTTTATTATTTAATTCCGTACTCAATCTCCGATGTGAAAAAAGAAAATCAAGAAAGAAAATCAAAAGAATCTTACCATCATATCTCTCTATCTGCTCTGCCAACTTGGCTTTGTAAATCTTAGCTTTTCTATCTGCCATTTTAGCTTGATGTTAACAATTTAGACAAGAATTTAACAAATATGTTGTTGGTTTTTTCGCTATGAAAAATCAAGATGACCGCGCCCGTCAACAACCGAATGTGTGCTTGACTTAATTTGAAATTTCATATAAATACAGTTTACATCGTTGTATGTGCCACGTATTACATACTCTTGCTGTGCACCATTCACTATGATTACTGTAATTATCGTGCGATAATTAACTTTAATAAAAGTTTAAACTAGCCAAGTCCCATCACTTAATTCAGAAAAAAACAAAACCCTTCAATTTAGGCCTCATTACCACTGGTCCATAGCAGCATGATACTAACTAAAATAGTTAAGTGGAAAAAGTTTTTGCCAATTAGCCAAGCAACGATAACCCTTCTACTTCGAGACCTACCTTTAAGGTTTTATGCCCTGTTGTCTATGTTTTAATACTCTGGAACAGTAATATAGACGGCCCTTGATTTATTTTTGCAAACTCCGCAAAATCCCTTTTGTAAATTGGCTGAGATATACTATCTTCGATGTAACTACACTTTGCTACCAGGAAAACAAAATACGGTCATTTATTGATTTATTTTGACTTTAGGGAACATCTAAAAAGTTCAATGTCGGATTACGTCGGGTAAACTGTCGAAAAAGGGAGAAAGAGTCGAAGGCAAATATACAAAGCCGTGTAAAAGGGTAGGAGGTCCTATCAAATTATGGTCCTACTTTCCATTGATTTATATGGTGACCTAAATACAACTCTCCCTTATTATCGTATCCACAATCAGGGCCAGTAAGGGCCTTTAAGAAAGGGGACCATAATCCCTAGGGGACCATAATCTCTTTCACACCGGCTTTCAAAGCCGGCTTTTAAAGCCGGCTTCTACAGTACATCAGAAGCCTGCTTCTGGCGTCACCAAGAAGCCGGCTTTTAAAAACCGGCTTCGAATGACTTACAGAAGCCGGCTTCTGCAGTTACCAAGAAGCCAGTTTTAAAAGCCAGATTCTCTCTCTCAATCATTTTGTTGTGCATTATGCATCTTATTCTCGTTTAATTAGCATGGAAATGAGAAAAAAATGAAAATAAGTAAAATTGTAACATATTGCAAGATTTTTTGCAAAAAGTAATTTCAAACCAAAACTATGGGGGAAATTTAATTCTAAGTAAAAATATCGATGAATTAAATCATGTTCGTTAAATAAGAGTAGATTATGCATTGCATTTCTGTTTGATAAAAACGCATCGCTCATTTTACAAAACTGGCTCCAACTTTGAGCCAGTTTGCAAATCAGCTCGCTCCATCTTACACAAGCTATGTAGGGGCAATCTAGCAACTGGGAATCACGGGATATTGTTTCATGATAATTGTTATGTGCATTATGCATGTTATTCTCGTATAATCTGCATGAAAGTGAGAAAAAACTGAAAAATACATAAAATTGTAATATATTTAAAGATTTTTTGCAAAAAGTCATTTCAAGCCAAAACTATGAGAGAAAAATCAATTCTAAGTAAAAATATCGATGAATTAGATCACGTTCACTAAATCAGAACAGATTATGCATTGCATTTCCGTTTAATTAATCAGCTCGCTCCATCTTACACAAGCTACACTCCCCTCCATAAGTTTGGCAACCTTTTTTCTCCATTGAACTACGTGTTAAAGCCTCTTTACGTTTGAATTTTTATTCACTTAACCGGCGATGAAATAACTTATAATATTGATGGAAACGTAACTTGACTTTATTTCCAATACCTCTAAATTTTCTCAATTTTTTTCCTCAATTACAATAGGTCGAAAATTGATGATAAATTTGATGAATTTTTGAAAATCGTCCTTCCCATGTAATCCAATGGGAAATGGAGGGTTCGGGGCAAATCAGAAATCAAGATATCTTTTCAGTAAAAGATTCAGCAAAAAATATTTTCATATAGAAAATTGAATTGTCTAACTTTTTTGAACACTAAGTGTTTAGTTTATTTGATGAATATTAAAGTTACAGCGCTTCAAAGTCATTTTTGAAAAGAATTTTTCGCCTCCTGTGTTATTTCAATGGGAGAGGTTTTTTGAAAAACAATTTTGACTTTAAAGCCCTATAACTTTGTTGAACCTGAAGAAACATATCAATTTTTTGTTAAATAAAGTTAGCAAATTCAATTACCTGCCTAACTCGTATTTTTTGCAAGGACTCGGATTAATGGATATTCTGTCATATGACTTGCGGCAAACCTACCATTTCCCATTGGTTAACATGGGAATGTCGATTTTCAAAAATTCATCAAATTCATCATCAATTTTCGACCTACTGTAATTAAGGAAAAAAATTGAGAAAATTTGGAGGTATTGGAATTAAAGTGAAATTACGTTTCCATCAATAGTATAAGTATTTTCATCGCAGGTTAAGTAAATAAAAATTCAAACGTAAAGAGGCTTTAACACGTAGTTCAATGGAGAAAAAAGGTTGCCAAACTTATGGAGGGGAGTGTATGTAGGGACAATCTAGCAACTGGGAATCACGGGATACTGTCTCACGATCATTTCTATGTGCATTATGCATCTTATTCTCGTATAATTTGCATGAAAATGAGAAGCCAGTTTTGAAAAATGAGCGGTGCGTTTTTATTTAACGGAAATGCAATGCATAATCTGTTCTGATTTAGTGAACGTGATCTAGTTCATCGATATTTTTACTTAGAAATGAATTTTCTCTCATAGTTTTGGCTTGAAATGACTTTTTGCAAAAATCTTGAAATAAGTTACAATTTTACGTATTTTTCAGTTTTTTCTCATTTTCATGCAAATTATACGAGAATAAGATGCATAATGCACATGTAGAAATGATCGTGAGACAGAATCTCGTGATTCCCAGTTGCTAGATTGTCCCTACATAGGTTGTGTAAGATGGAGCGAGCTGATTTGTAAACTGGCTCCAAGTTGGAGCCAGTTTTGAAAAATGAGCGGTGCGTTTTTATAAAACGGAAATGCAATGCATAATCTGTTCTGATTTAGTGAACATGATCTAATTCATCGATATTTTTACTTAGACTTCAATTTTCTCTTATAGTTTTGACTTGAAATGATTTTTTTTGCAAAAAATCTTGAATTATGTTATAATTTTACATATTTTTCAGTTTTTCCTTATTTTCATGCAGATTATACGAGAATAAGATGCATAATCCACATCAAAATGATCGGGAGACAGTATCTCGTGATTCCCAGTGGCTAGATTGTCCGTTAATAGTTTGTGTTTAATGGTGATAGCTGATTTAAAAACTGGCTCCAAATTGGAGCCAGTTTTGAAAAATGAGCGGTGCGTTTTTATTAAACAGAAATACAATGCATAATATTTTTGGAATTGATGAACGTGATCAAATTCATCGATATCCATGCTTAGAATTCAATTTACACGTATAGTTTTGCAAAAATATGACAATATAAACTATATTCAAAAGCCATCTTCTGCAGTACGTCAGTAAGTAAGAAGCCAGTTTTAAAAGCCGGCTTCTTGGTGACTTCAGAAGCCGGCTTCTGTTGTCCTTCAGAAGCCGGTTTTTAAAAGCCGGCTTCTTGTTGACTGTAGAAGCCGGCTTCTGTAGTACGTAAGAAGCCAGTTTGTAAAAGCCGGCTTTTTGCTGACTCCAGAAGCCGGCTTCTGTTGTCCTTCAGAAGCCGTTAAAAGCCGGCTTCTTGGTGACTCCAGAATCCGGCTTCTGTAGTACGAAAGAAGCCAGTTTGTAAAAGCGGTTTTTGCCTTCGAGTACTTCTGAAAAAGGGGAGACATGAATTCCATGATTAGAGGCCACATTTGCAAAAAATTCAAAGTATCATTCAGAAAACTAGAATAGAAAAAATAAATATTTAGATATATAATCTTTCATCTAAAAATGAGAATACCATTATTTTATCATAAATTTATATATGCGATAAAGTTGCTTGTCATAAACCGGAAGTAGCTGTCTGCAAAAAGACAAGATGGTGGTATAAAGTGTTTTGCATATCTGATTCTTAACATATTATTTATCGATAATCAAACTAATATTCTTTGTTCATTTTGTCTTTTGTGTATTTTCTCACGTGGTACTTTGATGAGTGGTGAACCAAACGTGACGGAATCACCTAAATTCCCATTGATTTTAACAATGTCACTTTTGACAGGGGAATTCAAAAGAGTGTTATGGTTCCTGATGCTGTACGACCTACACGACGATATATTCGATGATAATATTCCATTGAATAGTTTATCATTGCACAAAATGTAAATCGTGATATTTTCTACACGGTTCAAAGTCAACTTCTTTTTATTAATTTTTGCCTCGTGATTCCATCACGCTTAAAATAGTGATTCCGTCACGGCATAATGATTGCAATATTACAATGCCAGAACATTGTAAAACACACGAACGGGTTTATTTCGTTGAACTATTGTCTCAACGATAGAGTTAAGTCAAAACGAGCACTCCAATAGGTCAAAATGAGCAGGAAATGAAAGACGATGGTAGTAGGGGGCGTTTTGTGAAAAAGTACAAGTGATTCCGTCACGGAGGAGAAAAAAGCCCGTAACAATAAAAACAATTTACGCACATTTATATTGACGTTTTTTATAGAAACACAAAACAACTCCTTTTCTAGAAGATCCCATATAAGATCAATAAACCCCTGTATATTTATTACAGATGGCCTTTTAAATGTCGTTTTTTCGTCAAATGTGTGATTTCGTCACGCTGGAATTCATGGAGAGCCTCCCCCGCTTCGTCCAACGTGTCGTCCGCCATTTTGCTTTAAATGTATACAATCGTGGGGGAAAAATATTTAAAGCAAGTATGTAATTGTAAGTAATTGTATTTTGTGAGATTCGAGATGTCATAGAACACTACCAGGCTGTGAAACATCTCTTTTGGTAAACACTTTCATCAATTTGTCAATAAAATGATATTTTTTATACTTTTAAAGTAGAAAATAAAACGAAGGCCGATAGGAAAAAGAAAAAAAATCATTTTGAGGTTTGCGTTTACGTTACGTCTAAAGTGCTCAGCTTAAAACACTTGTGTTTACAGTACGT